AGTGTTTTGTGGTTTTTCTTTTAATCCCCCAACACGTTTCTGGGGAGGTGGTGGAGGAGGGGTTAGCGGCCGCCCCCCTCCGCTTACCAATTCCCCCGCAGGGGTGGGGGAGCGACTCTGAGACAGTTGACAGGGGAGATGTGGACCCGCCAGCTCCCCCCTCGCTCCCCCTGAGCCTTGACAGAGAGACTCGGAGGTCCGCCTGGTCTGTTCCACTGGCCCGCGGTCTTCCCCAGAGAGCCCCACGGTCTCGAGCTTATGGGATGTATGCACCCCCCCACACACACACGCACCGCACACACCCCTGGCACACACACACACCCCTGGCGCCCACCTGCAGGCGCTCCAGGCCCTCCCCAAGGGAAACCAAGCCGGGTGTCCCTCCAGAATTCCTAGCGGATAGACAGCCAGACGACAGCCAGACTGACAGATGGGTGACAGGGCGAGAGAGAGGCAGGCCCAGTCTTCGCTCCTGTTTTTGTTTTGAAAGGGAAGCACAGAAAAGAGGCTGCTGGTGGCGGGCGGACTCTCAGCCGGCCGATGCCACAGGTCCTTCCTGGGGGGGAGGAGGGGTGCGGGCGGGGAGACCTTGCTGGCTGCCCGTCCTCCCTGCCATCGCGGCAGGGCCATGATGTCACAGCGACAAGAACAAGGCCGCGGGAGAAGGCCTCAGAGTGTCTCCTCTGGGCTCCCGCACTCAGAGCCCACTCTGCACGCACCCCGAGATCTGCAGGCAGCGCCCGGGTTCTGCACAGGCTGGTTTCCCTCCTGGGGTCCGATCAGACCGTGCACCCCCTGGCTGAGGGCCTCGGCAGTCACCTTAACCGCTGCTTCTCTGGGTGCCGTCTGCTCAGCGGGAGTAAGTAAGCTGCTACATGTGGCCGCGTGGTACTTAGCACTCAATGCGTGTTAATTATTATTACTTTTTAACATCTATTTCCAAGAAGCCGTGCAGGGCAGTGATGGCAAATTTGGACTTCGGAGCTGGTGAGACGGATTCGAATGCGCTCACTGCTGTTTACTAGCCACGAGGCCTTGGAGCTGAGCGAGGGGATAGCAAAGGGACCGACCCAAGGGGTTCAGGTGAACTTGGCATTATTGCTGCTGCGGTTAAGTTGCTGTTACCCTTACCAATCCCAGCCGGGGACGGGGGCGGTGGTAGAGGGAAGGCAGAGGGGGACACGGGGCCGGGACTACTGTACTGAAGCTCCCTCCGCCCTTGAGCCAGAGCCAGGCTGTCGCTGCCTGGAAATGCACCCAAGGGAATGCCGTCACCCCAGCGAGGTCACGACTCATCACCCCAAAGGGAGCCGGCTACAAAACACAGGCCGTTCTTGGTGATTAGATAAACCCCGCGATGCTAACCCCACGTCGGGGTGAAGGGAAAATAGGGTCCCAGTTTGGAACCTCTCAGTCCAACAGATGTTTATTGAGCCAAGCTCTGCGCCAGGCGGGGGGACGAGGGGGGATGAGGAGGGACAAGGGAACAGAGCGGGCCCCTGTTCTCCAGAGAGAACTCGTGGAGGAGGAGCGGGCCCCTGATGGTGGCTCCAGTGGAGACTGGGCCCTGGGGCGGACCAGGAGTGAAGGTGCATATGTGCCCCAGTCTCAAACAATCACGTGCTAAAACGTAAAATAAAAAGTGGACCTTATTGTGGATATTTTAGAAAATATAGTAAAATTATGAAAATGAAAATCCCATCTATCCTACTCCCAGGGACCTCTGACACACAATAAGCATTCCATACATTTTTTATCCTCACCCTAGGAGTGAGGGTAGTTTTTCCATGGGTTTTCAATGAGCGTGTAGAAGGAAGGGGGGCGGGGGGGAGAGAGAGAGAGAGAGAGAAACATCACTGCACAGGCTGACCATGCCTTAACCACTGAGCAACACTGGCCAGAGCTCCACACATTTTTTAAAGCTGGTTTAGTGACAGAGATTGGAGATAATCATTTATTTATTCAGTATCGAATTGGAGACCTAGAAAAAGCAATCACACAAGAAAAGGGACTTTTAGGCTATTCCTTTCAACTTTAGAGTATATCTTTCTAGCTTATATCTATATTCTAGAATAGATGGAAAGAGAGCCACATGATTATGGAAGCGGAACCATGTGCTGCCCGCTTTCTAATAATTGCTTACTGCGTCATTAGTCGTGTCCACCACTGTGTTTTGTTTGTTCGGTTGGTTGGTTTTGGTGTTTTTTTTCTTTTGGTTTGTTTTTTAGATTTTAAAATTGATTTTTAGAGAGCGAGGAAGGGAGAGGGAGAGAGAGAAACATCCATGATGAGAGAGAATCATTGATGGGCTGCCTCCCACACGCCCCCTACTGGGGATCGAGCCCGCAACTCGGGCATGTGCCCTGACCGGGAATGGAACTGGCGACCTTTCAGTGCACGTGGGGTGACGCTCAACTGACAGCCATACGGGCCAGGGCCACCCCTGTTCTCAGTGAAGGCCTGGCGACACATTGCTCACTATTGCTGTACACCCATCACTGTTTTCTTTATAATAAACTAGGGGCCCGGTGCATGAAATTCGTGCACTGGGTGTGTGTGGGGGGGAGTGTCCCTCAGCCCAGCCTGCCCCCTCTCACATACTGGGAGCCCTCAGGCATTGACCCCCATCACCCTCCAATCGCAGGATCGGTCCCTTGCCCAGGCCTGACGCCTCCGCCAGAGGTGTCAGGCTTGGACAGGGGACCCCCATCTCCCCCCGATCACTGGCTCTGGCCCCCGCCCAGGCCTGAGACCTCTGGCCCAGGAATCATGCCTGGGCAGGGGACCCCCATCTCCCTCTGATCGCTTGCTCCACCCCCCGCCCAAGACTGACACCTCTGACCCAGGCTTCAGGCCTGGGCAAGGGGACCATCATATCCCCCCAATCCCTGGCTCCGCCCCCCACCCAGGCATGATGCCTCTGGCCCAGGCATCAGGCCCAGGAAGGGGACCCCCCAACCCCCCGCCCAGGCCTGATGCCTCGGCCAGAGGAGTTGACCCTCATCACCTTCCGATCACCAATCACCGGATCGGACCCCTGCCCAGGCCTGAGAAAAAATCCTGCTTTCTTCGCCTCCCTGCATTGTGCCTACATATGCAAATTAACCGCCATCTTGTTGGCAGTTAACTGCCAATCTTAGTTGGCAGTTAATTTGCATATAGCCCTGATTAGCCAATGAAAAGGGTAGCGTCGTACGCCAATTACCATTTTTCTCTTTTATTAGTGTAGATACCTAGAAATAGGGTATTTGGACGCGGTAGGCAGGTGACACTGATGGCTGGCTGCTCCTCCCGCCACAGCTTTGCGGTTCTCAGAGGAAGCGTCGTGGAAACAGCCCCCGAGCGCGGTCTGCTGCCCACCAGCAGTGTGGCTACTTCCTGCTCCTGGCACTGCGCACGGGAAGTCCCGGAAGCCGGCAGGGAGCATGTGTTTCGTTTTCTTGCTGCTCCCGTCACCGCCGTCAGGATGGCGAAGCCGCTGGATCTGCCCGCATCCTGCTGTCCGTGCCTCAGCTTCTGCCGGTTACGCTCCCTTTTGACGCGGTTCTCCACTCTCCTCCTGAGTGGTCACGGGCCTGCGGGTGCATGATGCCAGGAGGAGAGGGCTGGCATCTCCGTAGGCAGCGCCCAGGAGGAGCGGTCATAACGGTTGATGTTTAATTTCAAAAGGCATTTCCTTGTTTTAATCTGCAAACCTGGAATCATTTCTGAGGGTAATTCTTGTTGTTGTTAACCCTCACCTGAGGATATCGTCCCATTGATTTTTAGAGAGAGTGGAAGGAAGTGGGGAGAGAGAGAAAGAGAAACATCCGTGTGAGAGAGACACATCGATTGGTTGCCTCCTGAATGCGCCCCAATCAGGGCCGGAGATCAAACCTGCAACCCAGGTACATGCCCTTGACCAGGAATCCAACCTGCAACCCTTCTAACCACTGACCAGCACTGGCCAGGACTGAAGGTAAAGTGTTTTTTTTTGGTATTTAATAGCCACTTGCATTTCTTATTGTAATAGCCTATGTATATCCACTACCCATTTTCTACTGAAATGGCTCTCTTTATTTTATCCTCACCCGAGAATATGTTTTTATTGATTTTTTTAAAAGAGGGAGGAAGGAAGAGGGAGAGAGAGAGAAACATTGATCAGTTGCCTCCTGTATGCACCCTGACCAGGGATCAAACCCCAAACCTAGCTATGTACCTTGACTGGGAATCGAACTCACAACCTTCTGGGGGTACAGGACAACACTCCCGCCAACTGAGCCACTCAGCCAGGGGGTCTCTCTATGTTTTGTGGCGTTATATTAGTGTCATTCTTTACCACAACAACCCCTGCAAGACACTTGACTGGCAATCACTCATCGACCAGGCCCGTTTCACAGATGGGAAAACAGAGGCCAAGCCCAGCGTGGGATCCTGCAGCCCCTCTGGCCCCCTGGTCACCACCGTGACCACACACCCCAGGGCCTCCGCTGAAGGAGACGGGTGAGCGGGAGCAGCACGCGGAGGCACACAGGCCAAATCGTGTTCTGGGGAGTTCTAAGCACGGAGGCTGAGGGGGCTCAGACGTGACCAGGCAGGACCGCGGCGGAGCACGGGGTTCTGTAAATATTGTGTCAGGCTGCGGTCACAGCGGGGCTCCCTGCTCATCCCAGACCCCGGTCCACCCTGTGGGAAGCGGAGACGAGCTCAACGGGATGGGACAGCTGGCTGTCTCCTCCGCTCTCTGCCCAAGCATCTCCCAGCCTCAGTTTCCCTCCTGGGGGTCTCCCGCTGCAGTGACTGGTTCTCAGCCCTTGGCGAGGCGTGGAATAGTATTCCCCTTTGAAACATGTTTCCTAGTAGTAGCAGGGGCTCATCTTTTGTGAGCCTTGCCGTAAGCCAGGCAGCACCCCGAACCCCGTGATCTCACAACATCCTCCCGGTGACGTGCGAGGAGGGGACCCAGGCTCGGAGAGCTCAGCTCTGTGCCCCGGTAAGCTTGTCAGGCTCCTACCCGTCACACCAAGTTGTTCCAGGAGAACTTAGGGCTGGCAAGTCATTTGTTTCTCTTGGGGAAAAAACAAAGAAAAACGAAATAATGAAACGTGAGCAACCCATTGCATTCCCCTTCTTGCCGGGGCTACCAGGAAACCCTTCGCTCACTGAGGGCACGAAATCACTGCAACTCGTGTCAGTCCAGGTGGCAAGTCTGGGTCTTAGCTTCTCTTTTTGTCTCCTATCACGTGACCTTTTTGTTTTCCCAGTTTTTGTTTTCAATCTTTTTGATGCGCTGGCTCTGCGTTTGACACTTTCCCGCAGCACGACATTGATTGGGCCACTTCACCTCTCTGGGTTTCCTCATCGGTAAATTGGAGGTAACAACGGCACCTACCTCACAGGTTGTTGCGAGAATCAAGCGAAGTAACCTGTGTGAACAAAAGCCAAGCACAAACTCAGAGCGTTGGAAACATTCAATGAACATCAGCTGTGGGTGTGGAAAAGGCGTTGATAAAGCCAGAGCAGAGAACCCGTCCTCAAAGGGAGGACTTGGCTGGATCTGAGGCTGGCCCGGCTGTGGACCTACTGTGTGACGTTGGGCCACGAGCTTCCTCTCTGAGCCTCAGCGTCCCCTCTGAAAGCTGCCCGCTCTGTCCTTTCCCTCCTGTGTCCCAGAGTCTGCACAGAAGAAAGGAGTGGGAGGCAGGTCCTGACCCGGCACACAGTAGGGCTGCATACATGGTTGTTCCAAGAGTGGATGGCTGGTTGAATGGCTGGTGATCAGATCCCCCTTAGCCAGGAAACGCCTAGCCAGTGTGAACTGGGCCTGGGCCGGTGCCAGGGTGGCATTAAGGCGAGTTTGGGGTCCTGAGAACCTGGAGGGCTGGCCCTAGGTCTGGGTCAAACAACAAGCTCCCGTTGAATACCTACTGTGTGCAGGTCTAGATATGTGACATGCCCGCCTGCTGTCCTCAGGGGACTTCAGGATTCACAGGGAGACAGATGGTCCTGAACAACTCATTCCATGCATTTTACTGAGCACCTACTGTATACGGAGCCATCCCGGGTGAGCACCTGACCATAACCCTGACAGGATTCTCCAGGAGGCGCTGCCGTCCAGCCATGGCGGCCTGAGCCCCAGGGACTAAAGGGCTGGTCACTTTGTTGCATCAAAGACATCTTCCGAGCGGTGGGCTCATAGGCCTCCTATTACAGGTGAAGAAACTGAGGCTCAGAGGGAAAGGGGCCCAAGCCTGGGACCCCCCCACCCCACAGCTCCCCAGAATTTTCTCCTGGGGAATTGCCCTACCCTCTCCTGCTCCACCTCCCCTGGGAATCAGGAAGGATGCTGGGGTGAGGGCACAGGTCAGACCCTGGGAGTGGTCAGACCTGGGGGAGCTCCCAGGCGCTGCCCTCACCGCCCCCCCCCCCCCAGGGCCCGAAACATCTTCCCGGGTTCCTCCGCTCCGAGGCCTCCCTGCACACAGCATGGGGGGGCCCTCGGGCTGGGGACCAGGCAGGACTGAGGGGCGGGGCGAGGCTTTCAGCTCACCGGCTTAATGGTGGATGTAATCCTTACGATGATCTGTAACGCGCTCTTGAACCCGCGCCAGGAGCGTGTGTTCGCAGCCTGCCCGCCCCAGGCCGGCGCTAAGTAATGAAAGCGGGGTCCTAATCGGCGGCGAAACTCCCCCTGGGCTCCCACTTCCTCCGCTCGCTGATTGCTGATATTTTGGGGGTGAAATATGACCATTTTTACGATCAAAGAGATCAGAGCTCCGAAGGAAAGAAACGGAAAGAAAAAAAATAAAGGGGGGGGCGGGGGGCTCCCCCAGGTTTCCTTCCCTGCGACTTCGTGGTCTGGTGGAGTTTCCTTAGACACGCGAAGATTTACACAGCGACCTGCAGGGAGCCTCGCCGCGCAGCAGCCCCGAACAGTAGGTCATTGAGGAATGAGCAGGCCTCCTCCTAATCGCTCCCCGGCCTTTGAGAGGGGGTGTCTAATGACTTTTTTTGAAGTGGAGGTCAAGGTTTTTTTAAATAAAACAATCTGTGTCCGTGCAATTTCCTCTGGAGCCCGAGCGTTGGATCTCATTTGATTTTTACTTTTTGGGGGGCGGGAGGCAGAGGTGGGGAGGTGCATCGTTTTTCTCCCGCCAGACAACACGTCCCTAATGAGGTACATTTATTTAAAACTCCGTATATCATCGCCCTGTCAGGGCCGCGGAGGGAGACCGGCTCCCTCCTGGTTTGTTTGGGGTTCGCAGCGGCGTGCGGCTCACGGAGGGCCCCGCAGCCTGGCTGGCCCTCTCTGCCCCCCGCCTGCCCGCTGCCCCCTCAGGACAGCCTTGACCATGGGGTGCTGTGCCCCAGC